CACACTGTCACAGATACTTGAGTGTCTTTGAGTGAAGATTTAAGGTGATAGGAAATATAATAACTGCAGCTTGAATCTTTGACACAGAGTTCATGCTTCAGAGTTCAGATGTTCAGAGTTCATGGACCGTTGAGGCTGCGAACTTTAAGGCTGCAGACCCTGAATGGGATACAGCCATCGACTGTGGAAACCTTGCAAGTGATCGTAAAGGTTTTACAGAGTCTTTCATGTCTAAATTTGCCGTTAATAATATATAATTGTAGGAATCATTAGTTGCTACACTGATTACTTGCACTTGTTAGCGCTACAACAACGGTCAGACCCCCGAGGCATCTAAACTTTAGTAAGAATGTGCACTTTGACCACCTCTGGTTAGCATTTAGTGGTCAGTTTCAAACGTATTTGATTTTTGCTTGTTATGAACAATTCACTTCACTACTTTCACGATCTGTAACATCATGCACATTGTTCCATTTACTGCATATTGCACTTTATTCATGTCTCTCATTCCACCTGCAAAAACATTGTAAAGGTCGTCACAGAGAGTTTTATATATGTATAATACTATATTCTCTATTTATTCTGTTTATTGCCAGATGTTAGTTAGCCTTTGTTCATTGTCTTTTATATGTCAATAGATACGTATGTCACAAATAAGTTTTGTAAATTATGTTTTTGTAAAGAATTTTCTCCCAAATCTCTTACATGCTAACTGTAACTTTATTTCTGCTAAAACCTGAACTTAAATGTGTATATGGTGTTATCTGTTTTTCTCTCTGTTTTAGATGCAAATATCAAATTGGAGTTCTGCCTCCAGGCCAGATTGCAGGAATGCACCACGTGTTGGCTGTTTCACTGCCCTCTGTGCCCCACTTCACCCTGCTGTCAGGGCAAAGATTGAGCAGCATATAAATGGACACATTCAAAGTGCTTTGCCTTTCAAAGGTATGTTGGTATTAATATACCTCATAGTTAAAGTCATAAATATGCACTCTTTTCAGCACCTCTGCAGTCTTTGTTGACTTAAAGTATTTTTCACATTGTACAGTTCAGTTCATTCATCAGCGAGAGAAAAAGTGTTTTCATTAATATTTTTCCTGTTCACCACATTTCCTGACAGCTCTTGTGATCCACACCATTTTGCTTCATTATTGAGGACGGCTTGGATATTTTGTTAATATGTACATCTGATTGTTAGATAAATGACTGCATTCTATACAACTACATTAAATTACATGTTTTTCTTTTTTCTCTCTTACAGACAAAATGATGTGCCGGTGCACTTTCACTGCCCTTCTGTAACATGACAGTCATACAGCGTGGGGATATGGCAAGGCATTATTGTCATGTCAGCATTCAGACTGCTCCCACTGAACTCTCGTGGAGCTCGTCTCCCTCTCCATGTCTCGTCTCCAGCATCTAAACCATTTCCTGAATCTTGGGTAGAACATTCATGTGCTCCACCCTCTGTGCTAAATGAACTGGGGCTTGGGAAAGTCCATGAAAATGAACGTCCTCACTGTGGTCTTAGTCTTCTTACAAAAACTTCAAGGCTCACATGATGAGGAGGCATTCAAACAGGTCAATAGATGTTTGCCTGGCCTGTCATCCACAGTGTTTTTGTGTAGAGGGACTTCTTCCTCTTTGTTTTTCAGTTTGCAGAGGACATGGAGCTCTTTTTAAAAGCATGTGCTGACGAGCAGAGACTACAGGTCAAAGCGATGTTTGACATTTAATGGACAGATGAAGGCACTGGCTGTTTGTTTGTGTTTTTTATCTGTTGTTTGTTTTTCAGTGTACAGAATTCCAGTTAAACTTATTATAAAATGCTGTTCACTTGTTTCCATACTTATAGTAAAAAATGTAAGTGTAAATGCAACAGCATTGTTTATACTTGTAACTTCAGAGTAAAAAGCTTATTGTTGATATTAACATTAATGTATTATCCTGTATCAATAATATTTTTATGCATTTTACGCATTAACCCTCTGATCTCTATCCTGGCCATTTGGGGCCACTTCACTCTCCTTGTTTGACTGCTACACTGCAGTGGACCAAAAAATGACGCAGGTTTGATCTTAAGGCCTTAATAGTTGTGTGTTTGTGCATGACATTGCAACGCAACATGTATTTGCAAGATAGACTGGAATAATTATGATGCATCAAATATTACACAGGCTGCAGTGAATTGTTGTTGATACAGGTTATTGGCTTTTGAGTTTCCCAGTCAAACGTAGCTTTGACACACATGCTAACACTCTACTCTTGTACATTTCATAACAAGACACCATAGCCAAAATATTAGCTCTCAAAAAAATTCAAGCTGCAGCTGCAGCACACCAGCAACACACTGTTAGTAAATGTGTCTGAGTTTCTGCAGGTGCAGAAGTGCTGCTGCTGTAAGTCAGCCTAACAGCTTCCAGTCACTGATATTTCTGAAAGATGGCAAGAAGGGCTCACAGCTCATTCTACAATCTCCCAGATCTTGGAATACAAGCCCCTGTCCCATGAAACCACTTCACAGTAGTAGGAGTCCACTAAACCTACAATGAAGAGTGATCTGGAAGAAATAGGGCGCACACTAGTGACCTCAACAGTTGCAAGACAGCCTTGTCCCGATGCTTATATGAAAAAAATATGAAGATTTATGAAACCATTAGGACTTTATTACTGTTTTATCTGAAAAGCTACTGGTAATATTTAACCTAACTGGGATTTAAAGTGTAAAACAGAATGTAGATAAAATTTTGGTTTTGATGAAAAGGAGTGGAGCTTGTGAGCCACAATGTAAGCAGTGTTGCTTTGCTGACATGCACTCGATGCGGCAGTACAAGCATTGTAGTGTTCTTATATTTTTGTAAACTAACTGTATATATATTGAGCCATTCAACAGTACACAAATGTTTGTAGGCTCCTTTTTGTATGCAACCTGATGTCTTTCTGAATTAATTGTTTGTTTATATCATGTTTTTCAGGAAAAGAAGAAGTTAAAGTCAAGTGGAAGCCTGCTCAACATGGTATGTAGTAACAACTTTGTTGGACCGGGAACAGACATTCATACTGTTGATAAATAGTTATCACCTCAATTTGAATTCATGTATTTGGACTAACTAAATTGGGAGCTGTTAGCTGTCAAGCTGCTCCTCTGTGAGGAGCTTGATAGCTGTCCACCTCCAAAGTCCATTATGATTTTGGAGGTGGACATGGTCAAGACTTTTAAGAGTTGGCATAAGACTTCACTTCTTTATAGAGCTTATAGTTGGGGCTGGTTCAGGTCAGCCCTTAGTTATGCTGTCATAGCACCAGACTGCTGGGGGTTAGTGTCTACTCGTGTCATTGTATATATCCAGGAATATGTGCCTGAGGATAGTTGTCATGAAATCAATATTAAATCAAAGTTTTCCTTAATGACCACAGCTGGCATGAGTTCTCCAAAGCTGCCTGCTGTCTCAGGATCTGTCTCCAAAAAGAACCAGGGAGCGCTAACATGTTATGTTCTAGACTGATGAAGAAAATGCACATTAACATAGTATAAACTCACTATGTTAAGTAATGTGAAGAGGATGCCTTTAGCTCCTATTGGGTTGGTTCCTTGATCAGTGCAATACAGAATCATTCATTCTGGTTTGATGTAATGTCCTTCAACACGTCAAAATGAGGCTCTGTAGTCTGTGTGGCCTCCACATGCCTGTATGACCTCACTACAACACCTGGGCATGCTCCTGATGAAGTGGCAGATGGTCTCCTGATGGATCTCCTCCCAGACTCCAGGACTAAAGCATCTGCCAACTCCTGGACAGTCTGTGGTGCAGTTGGTGGATGGAGTGAGACGTGATGTCCCAGATGTCCTCAAATGGATTCAGTCTGGGGAATGGCGGCCAGTCCACAGCATCAATGCCTTCGTCTTGCAGGAACTGCTGACACACTCCAGCCACATGAGGTCTAGCGCTGTCTTGCATTAGGAGGAACCCGGGGCACCCGCACCAGCATTTAGTCTCACAAGGGGTCTGAGGATCTAATTTCAGCACCTAATGGCAGTCAGGCTACCTCTGCCGAGCACACGGGGGCTGTGCGGTCCCCCAAAGAAATGCACCCACACCATTAGTCACCCACTGCCCAACCATCATGCTGGGGATGTTTCAGGCAGCAGAAGGTTCTCCAATATGTCTCCAGACTTGTCACAAGTACTTAGTGTGAACTTGCTTTCATCTGTGAAGAGCACAGGCGCCAGTGGCAAAGTTGCCAAGCTTGGTTTCTCTGGCAAATGCCAAACATCCTGCACGGTGTTGGCTGTAGCACAACCCCACCTGTGGACGTCGAGCCCTCATACCACCCTCATGGAGTCAGTATCTGACCGTTTGAGCAGACGTGCATATTTGTGGCCTGCTGGAGTCATTTTGCACAGCTCTGGCCTTTCTTTCCTACCCCACAGTACCTTTCCTTATCTTTTGTTTCCTACTCTTTTACTTAGTCTTTGATCACGTTGTCTTTCTAGATAATTAATGTCATTTGTTCTGGGGCGAGTCACTGGCTCGGGTGCATTCTGGGACTGTCAGTTCACCAGTGTGCTGGCATGCTTCTTAACAAACACACCACTACAGCAAACATCTCAGTTGTACTTGTTGATTTCTTCAACAAAACACTGAACAAAACATGTCCTTGTGAGTGTGCTGCCTGGTGCTTTTACATTTTGTGGTAATTTGAGCAGCCCAGAAAGCATCCCATGAATTCAATTATGTTATTGTATCTGAACATGTACACGAGTCATTAAATTAGATGGGAAAGAATGATTCAGGGTAAACAACTGCACCAAGGAATTACATTTTTCTTCTCAACATGTAAAATGTCTGTTGATAAGCAATTTCTAAAACAGACATTATAAAATCACATTAAACAGATGTGATTAACTTTTTATTCTAGCAAACATAACATCAATGATGACACAATCAGTCTTCATCAGAAGTGCTCAAATCACTCTCATCGTCCTCCTCCGAGTCCATTTCCAGGAGTGGTTGGTGGCTGAGGATTCTCTTGTACACGTCCTTTACTTTGAGCGTTTCAGCTTTCAGTTCACTTTGTTTTTAAACCAGGCTATGGAGTCCTTTCTGTGCATCCTCCGACATGCCAACAAGGGAGGCTGTAAAAACAACAAAACTATTAAATATAAGAAAAACAAACAAACAGACAAAAAAACTCACCTCATAAACACAAGGAGTTAGGATCATGTAATAAACTTTTTTTAAGGGAGAAGGCAGTGTTAGCTAGAAACCAAATATAGGTAAAAGATCCAGTAAGACTTTAGCATCTGCTATTATTTTCAATCAATTCATCACCAAATGTATAAATAAATAAAAGATGTGCTTACAGTCTGAGGAGATTGTCCCCAACACCACAGATCGCATTTGCAACACTGTCCAGTGATGCTGCATCTCCCTGCAAAGGATCATCTCCTCCTCTCTCAGGCGCCTCACAGCCATCACCTTCTCAAAGACCTTTCTCTTTGTCCGGAGGTCAGCAGCAGCTGCAGTTTAACAACATCAGATGGGAAAACATAGCAGCATATTATGATTCAAGAACAAAACATTCAACTACTGCTCAGATGCTGGGAGTTTGTTTAAAAAGGATATTTAGAAATCAAGAGCTTACGTTCACTTGTGCTCTGCCAGGGCCAAACGTCGCTCTGCATGAGGGCATCACTGGATACGATTTGCTTTGTTGCTTGTTTCCTTGTTGTAGTCGTCAACAGCAGCCGCCAAGCGTTTCTTCTCATCTAAGATGACCTTGTGAATTCTGTGTCGCCTCTTGTTGCTATCTGTAAATAATCATAAAAAGGAACACCTTCACATAATGCATATATTTACATTTTAATCTACACTCATCAATTCGTTTGCTAGAACAAATCACATCCAGCTTAAACAAACCTGGATCTGATTTTATTCTGTTTACAAAGTAGCTGTACAAGCTGTACAAACTGAGCATCAAACGGTCCGTTTCAAAGAAACTGTGACACCATTTTGTCTGTAAAGACTTTGTGTTCGCACTCTGATGATGACGACAAGCTCCTCTACTCGTGCCTGCAACGCTCCAAGGCTGCCATCAGTTTGATCCGTTTCTAAGTGAGAGGAATATTAATCAGAACACAGGATGAGTAACAGTCACCAAACTACAGTGGACTCTGTAATCACTGACTTGATGATATTCATTATAAGACATCTGGAGCCTTCATGTGCTGCATTATCATGAGATAACAAGTATGTTGGTGTTCAGCTTTATAAAACCAACTAGTACGACATCACTTCAACCCAGGTCCAATCCAATTTGATCAAACGCAACAACTCTGCCATCAATTCTGCTTTTACAAGCTTATTTTTCATTGTTTGTTGACACTGTCAGAAAGATCTTAACTCTAAGTTCTTTAATGAGGCCATGGTGGGTCCTGTTGTTATACACGAGTGCATTATATTGAGACTCACCTTCAGCCCATTGCTGCAGTGTGTCGTCATCCACACCCAGCTCATTTCTGCTCGCATTCAGGCTCTCCACTTGTTCTCTAAGGATCCTTATGATCTAAGAATACATTAATAAATGTCATTCATATGGACATTTTTAGAGTACTGGTGTTTCCCCCCCATTACCACACACATTAAAATGGGTGTTGAAAAAATGACCTTTAGATATCTCTGGCTCAAAGTGCGGCCCAGTTGTTCCACTTTCCTTTTGTTCCAGCCCAAAGCCAGGAGGCTCAGCATGTCTGTTCGCCCTGCATTTCAGTTAGTATACAAATAAGAATGAATGAGCAGGAGACTGAGTGGAATCTCACACACAGACACACACCTGCTTTAGACATGTACTTCGTTGTGATGGCCGCCCTAGACAGGAAACTGTTTACTTGTTCCACCTCTTCTCCAACTGTAGAACCGGCCCCATCCTGAAACGCACCTCCCCATTTGATCTATAGAAAGGAGGTCACAATACATGACTGCTGAATTCATTCAACCTTATAACAAAATGTCTTAAACGTATCCAAGCTACAAGCTGCAGTATACCTCGCACATCCAAGTGTGAGCTACTCAAAATGAAGTACACATTAAGATAAAGTCAAGTAAATAGTATTACGACAACACCAAGAGAAAAACAAAATAAATATCCACCCATCCAAATATGTATCCACACACACACACACGTATGAGTATATGGTTATGGCGTTAACGTCATTTTAACAAGATTAACGCTGACAGCACTGATATATATGTGTATCTTACATCATTTGTGTGTCTCTGGATGTATTTCACAAACTCAGCAACTTCCTCATCTTTCTCAATGAAGACACCTTCAAAGTTCCCCTGCTCTGAAGTGCTGAACGAACACGGTGACAGTTGTTTGAAAAGAAACATCAAAATACAATTTTTGTACAAATCCATATTTGATTTATGTACACAATGCATAACGTACCTTGCATTTGATTGAAAGCGATAAAGCTTGCAGTTTCCATCAACTGAGACGGCGAGCATGTCTGGAGTGCAGGCAGGGCAGCTAAAGCATGGCTCCTTGCACATCCTGTCCACCTCACACTTTACAGCACTCCACTCCAAGAAACTTTTGCTGAAGGCATCAGCTGATATTCGGCCAGTCTTTTAAGTAGAGGACAAACAACAGAATATTCACGGACAGTCATCATAAACATTGATTTGCACAATTTCCTTAAACTTGACAAATTTAGAAACTCACCCTTCCAAAATGGGCTGTTCGTTCATCCAGCACTTTGACAAAGGCCTTAAGTGACATCCCTGCTGCAGCTTCTTAATGTCATAGAAAGACTGAAAGACATCCATTGAAAACAGGGTGCAGAAATTTAAGGTGCCAGGCCAATATCCACCACCCTGGAAGTCCTTAACTGAGGGGACCACATTAGGCCACAGCTGGTGCAGCTCACCACTGGCAGTGCAAGGTTATAACGGCCTTTAGGAAGGATAAGGAGAAATCCAGTCATGGCTCAACAAAGACATTCATTTTTTCCCATGTTGTTTTCAAAGCGGTCTGGTAAATCCAAATGACCTTTGACAGGTGCCCACATATACTGCGGGCCGAGGGTAATTCAAAACAATGTAGCAATGTACAATTTGCACTAAAACCTGCAAACACATCTATTGTGTATGTACTGTGTGACAAAAGAGCAACTTACCATTTATGGTTACAAGAGCCACAATTGCACCGGGTGAAACCTCAACGTTACCTGCTGGGCAGTCACACACAGTCTGGTCTTTGCACAGGCAACAGCCGAACTAACATTAAAAACACACAATATATATAAAAAGAATTGGAAATTAAATGATACACAATAAATATACAATAACAGCACACACTCATAGTACATAGCAATAAATGCATAAGACTTAAAAACCGTACATATTGGATTGTGAAACTCTGATGAAGGCTGCAAAAACCCTCCTGTTACTGCCTCTCTGCTGTGCAGGACAAAGCGTGTGTGAACTGCAATATCACAGTCAGCACAAAGGAATGGAAGAGGCAGGCAGTCCAGACACCTCACAACTACTTGTTTGCCACACTGACACACACGGTGTGACTGTGGATCCAGAGTAGCTAACATATTGTCTATAAGACAAGGCCTGGCCTCTTTCCACTTTAGCAAGGACACCATGTTTCTGATCGCCCAGTGAGTAGCAGCTGACTCAGACAACGTCTCACAAGTCATGGCTGCGTCCTCTTCTCCATCCTCCAACAACTGAAGGAGCTCCTGACGAAGCACCTCAGTTCCACACACTAACAGAAAAAAAATAAAGAAACTCTTCCACAAAGTGAAAAACACTCTAGGCAGTATGTTTCTTAGGACTGCACAAAAGCCCTGCCTAACTCAACTATAACAACAAATATAAAAGTAAAGGAATCACAATATATACAAGAAGGTAAAGTACCTTTTGTTGGGTTGACACTGGCAACATAACTAGGTTCTTCACGTGGACACTGATGCTGATCTGCAGACACTGGGGGAAAAAGAGATTGAAGAATATTTACTTACTGAAATTCTTTGGTGAAAACAAGTTGTGAGATAAAATCAATGGTTGTGAGAACACTGACCACGTGGCAACTAGTACTTCGACTGGATGATGGTCTTTGAGGAATAAAATCTCCCTGTCTGTCAAGGGCGGCATCACTTACATTTTGATTAGATACCTTGAGTTTGTAAATGATCAGATTACATAATTGGAATACAATGTATCCAATTCAGGGTTGCAGGAGGATGAAGCCTATCCCAGCTGATACAGGACAAAGACAGGCTGCCAGTTTATTGCAGGGCTAACACGATATGTGTAACAGAAAATCCACTTAAATGTTTGATATTTCTTATAATAATCATAATTATGACTATTATTTAAAGGTTTCTTTAAATAATACATTTTGATTTTTTATAACCTCTAAAATATAAACCTGAGCTGTTTCAGATTCTGACCTCTGACCTCACTGCAGCTCCTCTTGGAAGTACGTCTGCTTCTTGTCTACCCCCAGTGATGACCGCCTGCCCTTGATATCACGTACTGTACCTGAGGAACAAAAAAGGACAAACACTTGCCTTCATTTAAGAAGTACATTCATACAGAGGTAATCTATGGAAACACACTAGTTCACCCTTTGGAGAAATCAGTTCCTGTGAAACATTTCTGTAAATGAACATCATGTGGAGAATGAATGAAATGAGTTCTTCAGGTGACTCAGCAGTCCCACACTGACAAATGAAATCTAGTTAAACAGAATATTGATGATATTTTTGTGTATCGCTGCAGCCTTTTCAAGTATTAACCTGGTGTCTTTGGGAACAGCTTAGGGGGAAATGACGGTAATATGACTGAACCATATGGGAACAAAGAATAGGCACTTTTTGTGCTACCGAAGTTTCCTCGCTTTCATTCAAAATCTGTTTCTCATTAAACAATTGAAACATGATGGCTTCAAGCTGACATTGAGGCCTGTGGGGCACTATCAGCCACTGAGACAGTAGACAAGTGACTATTTCACACTTTAAGGCTGCCTGTTTATTTAAGGGAGATGAACAGTACATTATAACTGTACATAATAATATCAATGATGATAGATTAAATAAATGGGTTTTTGAAAGACGCTTGTGCATTTTTAAAGTCTAAAGTGTTGAATTGATCTGAGTATGTCATCTGTTCAAAGCCTCTCCCAGTCAGTGCTGTTCTCTATGCCTGTCTTACTCTACATGATGTTATTAGCACAAACACTTTAAAGGTGATAATTAGGTCTACAACAATAACACAGACTGCAATGTAGTTAAGCGTCTTACAGTTAGTTTTGAATGAATGAACTTAAAAAACAACACAAGCAAAGATCTGTCTCCTCCTGTTTTTTGTGTCACATAAGAAAGAAGCATCAATATCTGATGAGAAGACTTATTATTAATTTGGCCTTTCACGTGGTCTTACTCAGGTGATGCGAAGTGAAATATGCATCCTTTTTATGGTAATGTGCTGGAAAATGTTGAAAATGGACATTAAACGTGCTCACAAAGTGCTTGAATTTGACCCTGAAAGGTGTATGAAGCCAGAAAAAGTCACACTTGGAGTAAAAACCTCTCATAGCAAGTTAATCATATTCAATTGATTTGATGCTTTCAGCACAAAATTTAGCCACACAGTCAGGACAGCGTCTGATTTACCTTCATCGGTAAACGTGTTTATGCAGTACATAGTAACAGTGTGGCTGAGTCCTCTGGTTCAAATCAGTTCCAGTACATTTGGAGATGTAAGTCTTAACCTTTCACATGCATCGGGAAGGAAAAAACATTTAATCTTCACAGTACTGCCGAAGTGCAGCGATACATTGTGAAGTGCACATTTCCATTTCTCATACAGTACCGAGCAAAAGTCTTGAACCACCCCTTATTTTTTCGTGTTTTGCCAGGTCAGTCTGTGTTAACGGTGTTATTAACTGCATTCTTCAACTAAAGAAGTGAGAACAAATGATG